TTGCCTCGCAGACCGACCGGGACCCGGGAAAAAAAAACCCAGCCGGGGGGAAAAAAAAAAAAACCCCCCGGCTGGGGATTTTTTATTCTAAATTTAAAAATGAATTACAAAACCTGAAAAGCAAAAGTCATATAAGGTTACAACCCTTCAACACACACATACACACACACCTCCTTCAGCTTACACACAAACCCACACTGACTCACACCTCAACTGCTCTGCTAACCCCCGGCACGCATTCGCGCCGCTCCTCGGGAACGCGGTTCCCGGGAGCCTCCAAAAAATCCTCCTGCCTGACAAAAACCCCGGTCCCTGGATGGTCTGTGCCCAAACTTTGGCGATGAACGTCGCCTCTCAGACCGACCGGGACCGAGGAAAAAAAAACCCAGCCGGGGGGGAAAAAAAAACCCCCCCCGCTGGGGATTTTTTATTCTAAATTTAAAAATGAATTACAAAACCTGAAAAGCAAAAGTCACATACACAAGGTTAAAACTAGTCAGCATGTGCTCACACACACAGAGACGAGTGGACACAGACACACACAGTCATGTGCTCTCACACACGCTCACACACTCTTCCTGCTTACAGGCTCGCTATGGCCCTTACTCAAGATGCTGAAGAACGTGCTTCGACGCGTCTTCTGGCTGCCACTCCTTGACGTCGAATGGTAGATTCTGGGGAAATCGGTAGCCTCGAGGACCTGTGAGACGACAGGAATTGGTCAACTTGTGGCTGACAGCTAGGAATTTTCCCCACTCTGGACCAATAAATTTTCTACCCAATATGCCATAAAAGACAGATGAACAGTAAAGTTTTTACAACTGTTCTACCTAACTATGACTACATGCCAGGGCAGGGCAGCTCCAATCATAAGTGGTATATTATAAGTACATAGAATATAAGCAAACGCATACAGTGCAAGTGTACATACAGTGTAAGTAGACACAATACAAGCCGACACAGGTACACGCAATATAAGTATATACAATATAAGCCTATACAATACAAGCCAACAGAGGTACACGCAATATAAGTATATACAATATAAGCCTATACAATATAAGCCAACAAAGGTACATGCAATATAGCTACACACAATACAAGCCAACACAGGTACACGCAATATAAGTATATACAATATAAGCCTATACAATATAAGCCAACAAAGGTACATGCAATATAGCTACACACAATACAAGCCAACATAGGTACACACAATATAAGCCAAGACTTGAGATAACTCTGTGGAAGATTAATTGTTGGGCCCCATAGCCTTTGAGAAGATGGAACCTACAGAACAACTGCAGTCACTTGAGGAGGGTGTAAGACGCTCCCTCTAGAAGTCCAAGATAATGGCATGGAAAAAAAACCACTACCAAAGCTGGTAGTGAGAAGGAAGATGGATGAGAAAATCTTGTAATCCTTTCCTGTCTCAAAGAGTAAAAATGTAAAGATGCTAGAATAAGCTATATCTGGGAAGGAATGTGAGTAAAATACTGCCTATATGGCACAAAATAGTGCCTGTAAAGCATCGAGATGTAACAAAGGCCTATGACACGGAAGACAATAGACACAGACTACATAACACGGATGACACAACATAGACACGGATGGCATAACAGAGACACGAGTAAACTGCCTAGCACTTTCAACTTATGGACCCGAGATTCATAGCGCAAGATGAGCCAGAGGCCGATGATGCCAAAGGAAAGAAAGCCCTATGATGATGGCACGTGATGATGAAACATAACTCCTTAAAAGAAGTTAGTGCCAAAGCAGTTAAGAGGATGCTCGAGAGGCTCAGCGAGCCTAGAGAAGGAAGCCAACTGCCGGGTGACCGTGGCCGTAGCTCCGGACCTGAAGGCGAGCTCCTCGGGGAAAAGATCCGTGACGACGTCGGGCCGAGGAAGGCGGACAACGCAAAGTTCCCGAGAACGTGGAGATGGGTTGGAACTGCCCTGCCCGGCAAAGGCTCTGGTGAGGCTGAGGAGAAACCCTCTCCCTTTACTTCCAGAGAGCCTGTCCCGATACAGACCTCTCCGCTAAGCTGACATGAAATTGCCCCCTGTGATAGTAAAGGTTTTTCCCCTTCTCCAAACCACTGGCCCCGACACTTAGCTTTTGGAAGAGGAGCGGACAAAATCCATCCTCGGTCGCACGTGGACGTTGAGATGTTCTCCGCGTGTGCTTCGGTGTTGCCGTTTCTAAGCTTTGGGTAAGAGCCTCCTCAGGGTACCTAAGACAAAACAGAAAAGGTGACTATTGCCCTCAACAACAGTAATCCCCGGGACTCCTCCGCACCACTCCCCCGGCTCACCTCAAATCTTGATTTGACTCCGGAGGCTGGCCAGAAGATACCTGCAAAGAGAAAAGGTACATACTTAGCATGCTGCTTCATAACATTCACCTATGAGTCAGCCTGCCTAAACGCCGACTCACCTGCCCTCCTCTGTTCCTTGGCGTACCTAGGGCAGCAACAGCACCTGCAAAGTAACAAAGCAGAAAAGCATGCTGAGATACTGTGAAAACACAACCTCCCAAATCTGACAAATATGCCACACCGATACCTTAAGCTCGCACCCACCTGGCACAGATATGCTCGGCTAGGATAGATTGCAAGCGGACCACCTAAAATTAAAAAAAAAAAAAGAGATGCTTAAAGCTGCACCAGAAACTGAGACCTCAGCAATAACAATTGCTTCTGTACACTAGTCAATGCTCACCTCGCCCACTTGGCCTTGACTGCTGCTCTCGGCTTTAACTTCCTAAAAAGAGAGACAAAGAACAATGCTGTAACAGCCACCATTTATGCTTCCTCTACAGAAACAAGTAGTGCCTCACCTGCTTGGGGGAAACCACTCACCCGGGATGGGGCCCTCTGGCACACATTTAATCCATCTGAATCTGAAAAAAGGTTAGGACAAGAGTCAAACTGTTGCAGGATAACTTAAGAGCTCCAGATATCTTGTGTCCATCTACAAATCCCATCTAGAGTCCAACTACACCCCACATTACAAACTTCAAGTCCCCGGGACTTCTCCTATTGCACCGGGCTACGCGGCAGGGCAGCGCAGCTCCGGCACAAATGTGTGTGCTGACACCCGTGACACGGGACGTGACAGACGACGGGGACGCGACATGGACAGAAATCTCCTGGCAAGGAAAATGGCTGTGAGGACTGAGAGAATGCAAAAGGAGATGACCGAGGTGAAACTGATGGTGGGCTGATGAGGCTCAGAGAACACTGGAGGTAAAAGATGCTAACTGAATGATTTATTCCAAGAACTGCAAAGATGGATGCCCAAGAATCCTACGGCCAGAAGCCTGTACCTGCCCTCACATTCTTACAAGTCCTAGTCCGCCATAATGGATCCTGGCGGGGTATAGCTGTCCATACAGCTCAGAACAAGACCTGAAAAAACAGCTGACTGGATGCTTATAAAAAGAGATGAGAGTCTGAGCTCCCGAGTCAAAAGTTCTATGGCATGGGTGCCAGGCCAAGGAACGCTGAGAGCACAGATGCTAAGACTGGTGCCAAGGTTTCTGGTAGGCCCCTCAAAGGGCTAAGATAAAAGACATGAGACAGCTAAACAAGACATAATGCACAACAGACAAGTGACACAATATACACCGGGACTGCTCTGCCCTGCTCACCTCAGCACGGTGATCAAAAGTGAGATTTTGCTTTTAGGGGGCCTAAGGGGCCACTTCTTGGCTACCCTCGTCTCCATAGCCAACTCAAAACCTCCCCCATCCCAGGAGTGCCGACCCAGCACCTCGCTTTCATTCCCTCTGTGGGTCGTGGCCCTCTACTTATCTCTCGGACATCTGGGGATGCCGGTCCGTGTCGGGTGCGAAGAAAGGCCGCCTCGCCGGCTGGGAAGTTGTGCTGTCACCGGGCTGTTGTCTCTTAGACAGCTATATTAAAGAAAACCAAACATCAACACCTGACCTTGGCACCACATCGGCCAAAACCACACAAGTCTGCTACTCACCGTTCTCCTAAGAAGGCCTGGCACCTCGTAACCATAACCCTCTGCCACAGATGTAATTCATCTGCACCTGAAAATTCATCTGCACCTGAAAGAAAGGTAGAACATATGTCAAACACATGCACGATAACTCAAAAGCTGCAAACACCTTATGTCAACCTAGGAATAGCATCTAGAGTCCAAGTACAGCCCACATTACAACTTTCAACTCCCCGGGGCTTCTCCTATTACACTAGGCTATGCGGCAGGGCAGAGCAGCTCCGGCACAAATGTGTGTGCTGACACCCGTGACACGGGACACGACAAACAATGGGCACAAGACACAGACAGAAATCTCTAGGCAAGAAGGATGACTGCGAGGACTGAGAAGATGCCAAATGAGATGACCAAGGTAAGACAGACCGATGGCGAGCTGATAAGGCTCAGAGTGCCCTGGAGAAGGAAGATGCTAAACTGAACGTTTTAGTCCAAGAACTGCAAAGATGAATACACAGGAGCCCTACGGTCAGAAGCCTCTACCTGCCCTCACATTCTTACAAGTCCTAATCCACCATAGGAGAACCTTGCAGGGTGCAGCTGTCCATACAGCTCAGAACAAGACCTGAAAAGACATCTGACTGGATGCTTACAAAGAGTTGCAATTCTGATGCCTGTCTGAGCTCCCGAGTCAAAAGTTTTATGGCCTGGGTGCCGGGCCAAAGAAACGTGGAGATCGTGGCTGCTAAGAATACTGCCGAGGTTTCTGATAGGCCCCTCAAAGGGCTAAGATAAAAGACATGAGACACCCAACCAAGACATAACGCACGGTAGACAAGTGACACGATACACACCGGGACTGCTCTGCCCTGTGCACCTCAGCACTGTGATCCAAAGTGAGACTTTGCTTTTAGGGGGCCTAAGGGGCCAATTCTTGGCTACTCTCATCTCCAGAGCCAACTCAAGACCTCCCCTCCCCGATCCCAGGAGTCCCAACCCAGCACCTTGCTTTCATCCCCTCTGTGGGTCGGAGCCCTCTACTTATCTCTCGGACATCTGGGGATGCCGGTCCGTGTTGGGTGCGAAGAAAGGCCGCCTCGCCGGCTGGGAAGGTCCTGCTGGCACCGGGCTGGTGTCTCTTAGACAGCTATATTAAAGAAAACGAAACATCAGTGCCTGATCTTGGCAGCCCGTCGGCCAAAACCCCACAAGTCTGCTACTCACCCTTCTCCTAAGAAGGCCCGGCTCCTCAGGTGGCACGCTTCAGGAACGCTCGGAGGCCAACGCCGTCGGCGTGGGGTACACCTGGGTTAAGAAGACAGGAGGCGATGTGGCATTGCTGAAAACTGACTGGACCCTTGGTCCTCCTCCCTACTTCCCTGACTCACCGCAACTCCTCGGTGGTTCCTGACTGCTACCCGGAAGACAGGGCTCATCAGGGTGAAAAATTCGGTCCGTCGGCCGGGTGGGGATGGGAGCTTGGCGTGCTCCGAGTGGATTGCCTAAGGCACAAAAACGAGAATGGAGACTTAGACTTGCCCCCTTGGAATTCAGACCTCAGCAACAAGAAAGGCTACTGCTCACCTTACCCTTTTGAACTTGACTGCTGAGATCCAGCTATACTTCCTAAAAATAAAGACCAAAAACAGCGCTGTAATAGGGTCACACTTGACACTCCCCCTGCACAGACAAATGGTGACTGACCTGCTATGGGGAACCCCCTCACCCGGGATGGGGTGCTCTGCCATGGATGCAATGCATCTGCACCTGAAAGAAAGTTAGAACATATGTCAAACACCTGCAGGATAACTCAAAAGATACAAACACCTTAGGTCAACATAGGAATAGCATCTAGAGTCCAAGTACAGCCCACATTACAACCTTCAACTCCCCGGGGCTTCTCCTATTACACCAGGCTATGCGGCAGGGCAGAGCAGCTCCGGCACAAATGTGTGTGCTGACACCCGTGACACGGGACAGACAGGACGTGACAAACAATGGGCACACAACACAGACAGAAATCTCTGGGCAAGAAGGATGACTGCAAGGACTGAGAAGATGCCAAATGAGATGACCGAGGTGAGACCGATGGTGAGCTGACAAGGCTCAGAAAACACTGAAGGAAGAAGATGCTAACTGAATGATTTATTCCAAGAACTGCAAAGATGGATGCCCGAGAATCCTACGGTCAGAAGCCTCTACCTGCCCTCACGTTCTTACAAGTCCAAGTCTGCCTTAATGGATCCTGGCGGGACATAGCTGTCCATACAGCTCAGAACAAGACCTGAAAAGACAGCTGACCGGATGCTTCTAAAGAGACAAGAGAGTCTGATGCCTGTCTGAGCTCCCGAGTCAAAAGTTCTATGGCATGGGTGCCAGGCCAAGGAATGCAGAGATCACAGATGCTAATAATGATGCCAGGGTTTCTGACAGGCCCCACCAAGGCCTAAGGTAAAAGACATGACATATGCAAACAACACATAATACACAAAAGACAAGGGACACGATACACACCGGGACTGCTCTGCCCTGCACACCTCAGCGCTGTGATGAAAAGTCAGGCTTTCCTTTTATGGGGCCTAAGGTGCCGCTTCATGGACACCCCCCACCTCCAAAGCAGACTCAAAAACCCCTCCCAGTAATTCCCAAACCAGCACCCTGCTTTCATTCCCTCTGTGGGTCGTGGCCCTCTACTTATCTCTCGGACATCTGGGGATGCCGGTCTCCGGTGCGAAGAAAGGCCACTTCGTCAGCTGGGAAGGTCCTGCTGTCACCGGGCTGTTGTCTCTTAGACAGCTGTATTAAAGAAAACCAAACATCAGTGCCCGATCTTGGCAGCCCATCGGCCAAAACCCCACAAGTCTGCTACTCACCCATGCTCCTAAGAATGCTCAGCTGCTCGGGCCGCACGCTTCGGGCACGCTCGGAGACCGAGGCTGTCGTCACAGGGGGTGCCTGGGTTAAGAGGAGAGGAGGTGATTTGGCATGGCTGAAACCTGAGTGGAACCTGGCTCCTCCTCCCTACTTCGCCTACTCACTGCAACTCCTCGGCAGCTGCTGAAGGCCACCTGGATGGCACCTTTAAATAGAGTTCAGGGTTTCATCACCAGGTCCTGTAATGCATCCGCAGGGCTCACACGTGCAGGGAACCCGGTGCATCGGCCGGCTGGTGACGGGGGCTTGGCAGGCTCCAAGTGGATTGCCTAAAGCACAAAAAAGAGAATGGAAGCTTAGAGCAGCACCAGAAACTGAGACTGGAGCAATAACAGCTACTTCTCTCCACTGCTCACCTTGACTGCTGGTATCCAGACTTAGTTCCTAAAAAGAAAGAAAGAACAGAGCTGTAACAGAGTCACCACATACACTTCTGTTGCAGAGACAAATGGTGCCTCACCTGCTCAGGGGAAACCACTCACCCGGGATGGGGCCCTCTGCCACACATTTAATCCATCTGAATCTGAAAAAAGGTTAGGACAAGAGTCAAACTGTTGCAGGATAACTTAAGAGCTCCAGAT